TTTGCAGATAACTTACGAAAATTGATTGTTGATGAAGAACTAAAATTAAAACGTCTACAGACTGGTGAAATAAGTGGATATCGTACAAGCCTTAAAAACAAAAAACGGGATTATAAAATACTGGAAGCTCAAAGAGCTTTTGCAGCTGGCAGGTTAGATAATAATAAATTATATTAATTTACTGAACTATGGCAAACAGTAGTTCAAATATGTTTTCTTATTTTTAATATTTTACTTGTATAAAGATATAGGATGTAAAAGTTAAACAATCGTATATATATATATATATATATATATATATATGTACCTCAGAGGTAAAGGATCATATGTCTATAGTTTTATACATTTCGAGAAAACGGCGTTCAAAGTTTTAAATAAGGAAAAAGTGTATTTTTATAAAATGTAAAATAAAAGTAGCATGTAATTTTTTAAATATTTATTATAGCAATAAAACTGATATCCCAGATAGCACAGAGAATCGAAAAGAATTCTTTTTCGATTCTCTGTGCTATCTGGGATGTTTTGTAGTATAATTGTCAATAATACATTGTACCTAACCAGAACTAAGGAACTTGCAATTGTTTACCGCTAAATGAAAAATGAGGTTAAAGAAACATAAATTTTAGACACTATTTTAGATAATATAGTTGTAATAGACATTAAAACTTTTTACTATATTAAAATTTAAGCTCCTGGTATATTGGAAATAGTACTAACTCAATTTTGACAAAAAGTGGACATATGATCCTTTACCTCTGAGGTACAGATATGTCACTACAATACAAATAGGTCTGTATGAAAAAGTACTTAATTCAAAAATTAGAAAATACAATTAAAAAATTGTACTTTACGTAATTGGTAGTAAAATAAAACTCAAATTAATATTAATGTTCCATTTCCCAACTCAAATTCAACAACTTTATCTAAAACTATTTTAATTAAACGGTTTTAATACCAAGTATCTGCATTTATTTTCTTATTTGAAACACTATTTTTATTTCAAATTTTTCCATACTTTTTAATATTTATGTATAGTAGTTTTAATATTATGTATGTGGTATAACAAACTGTATTTCTTATTTATTGCAGGCTAGATCTTGAATATTTCTTACGTATGTTTACTGACAGCTGCGAAAATTTTATTCTGACAGATACAGTAGTTCCTAAAGGTAAATACACATATATACACACATATATATTTTTTTATTAACAGTGATAAATGATAATATTTAAAAAAAATAAGTACAAGCGGTTTAATTGGATATCATACAATTGCTCAGATATTTCATTAGTTTTTCTCTTATAAGTTTAATTGGACTAAACTGTAGTGTCGAAATAAATCGTGTCCAAATAAAACAGTTATTTTAAGTAATAATACTAAAGTATATATTTTTATATTAAGTGCTTATTATGTATTGCTAAAAATTAAGTTTATAATCTGAACAATGTAAATAATATATTTTTAATTGTATATTTTCCAGTATGCATGCTTAACGTTTTAAATTTCCAAATTAGGTTTAAAACGAATTAAGTATACATTTCACTTTCAAGTTGTAAACTTGTGCAATAAACATCTTTACTTTTACAAGTAAATTTGATTTATCTCTTGCAGTATTACATAAATAAAATATGCTATAAAACACAATTTTTGAAAATAACATTTATCACATAAACAATTTTTTGCTTTCTTTAATTTTTACAGTAGTCTTCAGCTTATCGTTATTAAAATATTAATATTAATTTCACTTTTTTGCAGAAGGTATCAATCACGAACCAAATTCAATATTTGATGAAGAAGGTACACCTGAAAAAACAAGATTAGAGACATTGTACGATAATGCCGAAAGTGATACTCAAGTTGATGCTCCATTCCACAAAAATACAAACAAACTATTAAGTGCTAATAAAGGTAATAATGCAAATTTCAATGACATTTACTAGTTTTACATGTATATATATATATATATATATATATATATATATATGTATGTTCTTTATTAACAATGATAAATATTTGAAAAAGAGGAGTGCAAATGGTTTAGTTGGATAACATAAGATTTAGATATAAACACAAATGCTCAGATTGGATTTGATTAGCTTTGCTCTTATGAGTTTATTAATAGGATTAAACTGTATAGTGTCAAAATAAATCGTGTCCAAATAAAACACTGTCATTTTAAGTAATAATACTAAAATTTCTATTTTTATATTAAGTGGTTATTATGTATTGCTAAAATTGAGTTTATAATCTGAATAATGTAAATAATTATATATTTCTAATTGTAATTTATCTAATATGTATACTTAACGTTTTAAATTTCCAAATTAAGCTTAAAATAAATAAACATGTAAATTGATAAATGTTGACAAGAAATGTTTAATAAACATTAAATAAACATGGAAATTTAACTGTTATAAAAATTTGATATTTCTTGCAATACTACATAATAAAAATATTAAATATTCTATAAAATACAATTTATATACAAATACAATTTATTTTTGAAAATAAAATTTATTAGATAGTTTTCCTTTTTTAAATTCTTACAATTTTTTCAGCTTATTGTTATATTGTTATATTAAAATATTAATATTACTTTTTTGCAGAAGGTAACAATCAAGACAAAAATTTAACATCTGCTGAAGAAGGTACACCTGACTCAAGGATAGTATACGATAATGCCGAAAGTGATATTCAAGTTAACGCTCCATTCCAGAAAAATACAAACCAACTGTTAAGTGCTAATAAAGGTAAGAATGCAAATTTTAATAACATTTACTAGTTTTATATTTTTCAGAACTAGTGAAATTAGACTGTCTTTAACCAACACGCATGTCTCAAGAAATATTAAAGATGTTTAAAGAGACGTCTAATCTCTATTAGATATGTCTAATTAGACTTATCTAATAAAAATTTGACATCTTTTTAAGCGTCTTTAACATTTCTTTCAGACATGCGCGTTGTGTTGAAAATGTAACATCTAGGAATATCAGGTTTTTGAGTAATAATAATTTCATATATATATATTTATATATACAAGGTAGGGAAAGAAGGTCGGTATCCCTGAATAACTCGAAAAATATAAGTTTTATAGATAATTTTCAAATAAAAGTTGTAGAATTTAAAAAGATCTATTTACTAATCTTATTAGTTTGACCATGGATGGTGTTGTCTCCACAGTCAGGTTAGATCATAAAAAATATTATGACAATATTTTTTATGATCTAACCTGACTGTGGAGACAACATACAACACATACAATACAACTTTTACCTGCTTTCTATAAAACTTATATTTTCTGAGTTATTTAAGGGTATCGACTTTTTTTTCCCACGCTGTATATACATATATGTTTAACATATATATATATATATATATATATATTTCTTATGTACATATCGTGGAAACGTAAATAATTAAATCTCAAAAAAATAAATAAATCTAAAAACTTAAAATTGCATAAAATCAGGTCCTTAAATGTGAACTTTAAAATTGAAAACTTGACTAGTAGTTTCTGTATAAAAAAAATAAAAAATCAAGCATTAAACCAAAAACTATCTTTACCCAGATAGGAAAACAACCATCATATTTATGAAACATGTCGATTCACATTTACGCAAGGTGATTTTACACATTTACGTTTTGTTATCAGGATTATCTTGATATAAATGTTATACACTTGTATATTAATTATTTTTGTTGGCTTCATTTTCTCTCTTGTTTTGTTGGCTTGCAAAACGTAACCACTTTGCTGTAGTATTTTTACAGACGGTAAATGTACCGTGGTGCTGTTATTTCGTACAAAAAAATGAAAATTGTATAAAACTAATAAAAACATTGTAATAAAAAATGTAGTAAGTTTAACAACACATTATACCACATATACCTACAGATACACGAACATAACATCTATAACTTACTTTTCATAATTTGGATGAGATAAGTTGAATACCAAAAAATTGCAGCGTAACTTTTTCAACATTTTATGGCGCATTCATCAGTTAGTAATTTTTTTTAACATTTATGTACATTGTCCCTGGCATTATTTTCATCAAGTTTCAACAGAAACTGCTTCTCTAAAGAAAAGAGAAAAATTAATAAATATATTTTATATTTATTTCAATGGATTATACTAATAAAATAGCTTAATATTATGTATTATGTATATAATATTATGAGAGAATATGTCAAGGTTTAGTAAAGATATTTTTATTCATGCAATTATGTCTTTTATCCATAATGTTAATAATTTTGTATTTAATCATAATTTGTCTATTAATATTATCATAAAAATACAATTATATACATATATTCAATTATATTATTTCTAATTA